ATAGGTGCTAAGGAAAGAAAAATGGCTCAGAGGAGTCTGAGCTGTGTGATACGTGCCAAACTTACCAGGTCCAGAAAAAGACAGCAAGTGTGGAGCTTCAGTCAGCCCGGAAGCATCCCATGGGTGCACCCCAACCTTGCACCTGTGCTTGGGGGCACCTGCCTAAAGGTGTTTTGTTCCTGAGTAGCTGCCTTACCCACGATTTTCAAGCTCCTGGAATCTGTGATATGAAGAACAACGTATAACTAATCATGAGCTTGTATTTATATGCAAATTCTTGGTGAACAACCCAGGAACTATCCCCAAAACCTGGCCTCTCAAGTAGCTGGGACCACAGGCACATGCCAGTGTATTCAGCTACTTTTATTTTATTATTTTAGACAGAGTCTCACTATGTTGCCGGTAGAGTACTGTGGCTTCAGAGCTCACAGCAACCTCCAACTCTTAAGCTTAAGTGATTTCTCTTGCCTCAGCCTCCCAAGTAGCTGGGACTACAGGCACCCCCCACAACACGTGGCTATTTTTTATTGTTTAGCAGGTCCCAGAAGGGTTCGATCCCGCCAGGCCCAGTGCATGTGGCTGGTGTCCTAACTACTGAGCTACGGGCACTAAGCCAGTTATTTGTAATTTGTTTTTCTTTTCCTTATTTATTTAGACAGAGTCTCACTTTGTGGCCCTTGGTAGATTACTGTGGCATCACAGCTCACAGTAACTGCCAATTCTTGGGCTTAAGTGATTCTCTTGCCTCAGCCTCCCAAGTAGGTGGGACTACAGGGACCTGCCACAACACCTGGCTTTTTTTTTTTTTTTTCTTTTTGGTAGAGACAGGGTCTCACACTGGCTCAGGCTAGTCTTGAACCTCTGAGCTCAGGGTAATCCACCCACCTCAGCCTCCAAGTGCTAGGATTATAGGGGTGAGCCACCACACCCGGTCAAGCCAGCTATTTTAAAAATGTTTTATAGAGAAAGGGCCTCACTGTTACCACAGCTGGTCTCAAACTCTTGGCCTCAAGTGATCCCCCTTCCTCAACCACATAAAGTGCTGAGATTATAGCTCTTTTTCTTAGAAATCCACTTGTAACTGCTGCTAGTGAGTGTATAGTCAGGGCAACTACAATTATGCTTCTGCGTTGCAGTTCTTATGCTAGGCCCAAATAATCTCTTATTGATTTTGTCTTGGCTTCTTCCTTTTAGGTAAATAGTACATTCTCAGTGATTCCATTTGACAACAAATACAAATGTAATTTCACATTAATATTTGAAGTTATATAAGTTATATAAGTGCTAACAGGCTCCTATTCCAAATGTTATCAATATTTTCAATGGTATCAATATTTTCTGTCATTTTAGAACGTCACATAAAACCCAAGAAATGCCATTCCTGTGATTTCTATCAGGAATTTTTACTTAGAGGAAATATATTCTGCTTATATTTGTAACTTGGTGCTGACTCATCTGAGTGTAAGGCCTAACGGTTTATCATGTTTTAACTGCTCTCATTTGACATATTCTAATTGTTTGGTGGGGCAGGTGGGACAGGAATCTGTGAGTTGCCTAAAGTCACAGAACTAGTTAGTGCTAGTCTGGAATTCAGAGCCAGGCCTCAGCGCAGGGGCAGTGCTGTTCCCACCAATTAGACTGGCAGTTGGAAAGATGAACCAAGCCTTTCTCATAATAAACTCACCAACATAGCAGCTATACTAAACACATAATTAGTAAACAAGAGCTAGGACACAGAATGAGTTGTTTGCATTCTAAATGAAAAACTTTAGGAGATGAAGTGATAAAGTCATTCTAACAGCCAGCAAATACAGAGGACATTTGTTTATGGACAGAGACTAGAGTTTTGGGTATGTTAACCTTTTATAATACATTACATACTTTGAAACTTAATTGTATTATTGTCTTTTCAGAAACACTAATTTTCCTTGATGGGGTCTGGCCAAAGGCACAGAAATGGAGCTCTCTCTAGGGCTTGTGATTGGCCACCTGGCTTTGATCACCAAATAGTGCCCTCCAGTTCCCAGACCCAGAGTTCCCTGAAGGAAGAACTTATTTCACTGCCAAAGAGGCCACTCTAATCTTTCACCTCAGCTTTTCCTAGAGGGACCCACAGTCATTTACCTGTGTAACTATACATTGGGGAAAGGGTACCCAGACTTCTCAGGGACACCAGACTCTGGTTCAGAATTGACTCTTCTCCTGGGACCCTGAGAAACCACTGTGATCCACCAGAATGTGGATGTCCAGGTACAGGTGATGAACAGTTTTGGCTCAGGTCAGCATATGGTTGAGCTGAAGGCCTGCTGTTGTCTGTCCATCCCAACGTTTCTGTCCTCAAAACTTCTTTTAAAGTTTTAGATGTTTATGAAAGTTGGGTGCTTTGTGCCTGTGTTTTTTGAGCTTGTTGTTGTATTTAACAAAAACACTTCTCTAATGGAGTTAAGAATTTATGTTACAGTAGCTGTGTTCCATTACACAGCTGAGAGCTGTGTGGCTGTGAGCCATTGAACCTATCTATAAATAAATAAACTCTATCCAAGTTCAAGGAAAAAACCATTCTTGGAGATGGCTCTGAGTGTGAGCAGAGGCAGTTTTCTGCAACACTAGTAGAATCAACTTCAGCTGCTCTAGTCCATCGACATTTAAGGTGAAATCACAGTTGGGCTTCCATATCTGTGGGCTCTACATACCTGGATTCAGACAACCAAGGATCAAGAACATTAAAAAAAAATTAACATGTACCAATAAAAATATAAATAAAAAAACCAATACAGTATAACTATTTATATAGCATTTATACTGTATTAAGTATTATAAGTAATCTAGACATGATTTAAAGTATATGGGAGGTTGTGCACAGGTTATATGCAAATTCTACACCATTTTATATTAGAGACTTGAGCATCCTTGGGTATCCAAAGGAAGTCCTGGGACCAAATCTCCATGGATGCTGAGGGATAAGTGTATTTGCTTTTGCATATTTAGACAAACTATTAAATTTCTTAAAAAGCTTCTGGTGTTTTGTATATATGGATGAAAATTTTTGGAGAGATCTAAAAGTACTACTTAGCCATTTAAAAGAACAAATCAAAGTTACACCAGGCAGCACGAAGAGACTGCCATTGCCAGGGGAGGTAAGGAGGGAAAAAGTGGGGCTCTGTGTTTCTGTAAAGTGACAGCATCCTGTAAAGCGACAGGTGTACATGCATGCGACTACCTGAGCAAGTACCAGAAGTGAAAGGATGTATGCCAGGTCGAGAACCTGGGTGAACTGAGTGAGGACAGGAGTGAGCTAAGCAAAGTGGAAAAGCAGAGGGAAAAGAGAGAACACTAAAGAAAAGCCAAGACACCTGTGGCTTAATGAGTAGGGCACCGGCCCCATATACCGAGGGTTATGGGTTCAAACCCAGCCTCGGCCAAACTGCAACAAAAATGTAGCCAGGCATTGTGGTGGATGTCTGTAGTCCCAACTATTCGGGAGACTGAGGTAAGAGAATCGCCTAAGCCCAAGAGCTGGAGGTTGCTGTGAGCTGTGATGCCACAGCACTCTACCAAGAGCAACAAAGTGAGATTCTCTTAAAAAATAAAAAATTATGTAAATCTAAAAGAAAAAAGAAAGCCAAGAAAGCGGGCTATTGTCACTTAAACATTTGGTAATGCTTTATGTTCTACACTAACAACTTAAAAATAAACAAAAATGGTGAAGATTAAAAAATAACAGATTGCCCTAAACAAGCACAAATACTCTTCTTTAGAGTAACTGAGAACTTCTTGATGCTTCTAAGAGAAAAAAAAATTATCTTCTATTAAAATATTTAGCTTTCTTCACTTAGCCATTTGAGGGTGACAGTGGGACTGGGTCCCCTCAGCTCCTTCCTATGTATCCCCTAGTCTGCTGGAGTACTCACGATAACCTACACTGAGTCCAGTGAGACTGGCCAGACACAGTGACCAGGTTCCAGCAATAGAACAGCAGAAAAAATAGCAGATAGGAGGCTAAAACTATAAAATTTTGCCCCGTGACAAATATGCCTACAGCTGACCACAGTAGCAATTTCAGTGAAAATAAAGAACTATTTGATTTTTACCTTTCATACTGATTAAGTATATTAAGTTACCTGTCAATGTCTTTCCAATCAAAAGTGAATACTGTTATATTTACTTCTACCTAACAGTTTAATGCTTCCCGCACTCCTACTTTTTTCTATTTAAGACATCTCGTGTCACATTAATTCTTGTGCTTTTTTTCTCCACTCTAACCTTTGGCTCAAGGAAAAAACCATTCTTAGAGATGGCTCTGAGTGCGAGCAGAGGCCTTAAAGATGAAACAAAACAAAAATGTTTTCTTCAGATTGCCCCAATACACCAAACTCAACAAACTCAAAAACACCAAACTCAACAAAAGTTTAACACCACAGCTATAATGTAATTCATTTCATAAAGAAGGTAAAGTTCAATGTCTATTTTTCCCACATTGGTTATGAAATACTTGTCCAATGCACAAGCTCAAATCACTCCGCCGGAAACCTTAAGGACCCACAGTACTGGACTAAGACAGAGAAGGCACTAATCACATCAGGAGGAATATTATACTGAGAACTGCAACAAGCTACTCAAAAGGTCTGTTGTGGGGTAAAGCCTTGCCTAGTGGCTAATCAGTTTCTTTCTTTTTTTTTTTTTGAGACAGAGTCTCACTATGTCACCCTTGGTACAGTGCCATGGCATCACACCTCACAGTGACCTCCAACTCGTAGGCTAAATGATTCTCTTGCCTCAGCCTCCTGAGTAGCTGGGACTACAGGCGTCTGCCTCAACGCCCAGCTATTTTTTGTTGCGGTGGTCATTGTTGTTTAGCTGGCCTGGGCCATGTTCGAACCTGCCACCCTCAGTGTATGTGGCTGGCTACTGGCACTGAGCCAGCTAATCAGTTTCAAAATATTTAACTATGTAGCATGTACCTATGTTATTAAAACCGTCTCTTCTTCATTTTAACCCAGGCGCTATGAACACATCCGTGACCTCAGTCTTTTCCTCTTCAATGATGCACTGCTCATTTCTAGTCGGGACACATCTCTGACTCCATTTGAAAGGACTTCAAAAACCACCTACCAGTTCATTGCTTCAATGACCCTTCATAGGATATTTGTAGAAGATATTCCAGATTCCAAGTGTATGTATTCTTTTCCTTCTAAGAGACAAATACTACAGTTATATTACATAAAGCTCATTAACTAACAAAAAAGTAGGAAAAGGATTAGAATTTTCATTTACCAGTTTGCAAGTAATTCTCAAATATTAGAATTTCATTTAATAATGCAAACTTCTACTTGCCTCTGAAATAGCAAATATAGGAGTACTGGCATTGTCAGACATGCACCCTAAGGATTAGGAAAGCAGCTTTCAAAAATCACAAAGGGAGGCGAGACCCCACATTATCATGAGTTCTTTGAAGAAGTCTGACTTGAAAGCTGGAGCTCCTAACCACTATTCTGTATTGCCTAAAGATACTGTAGTTTTAAAGCATATTTTAGATATTTATCTATTACTTTTTCATTCTTTTAGGTCTAAGTGATTATTATAGATTTGACTGTATCTTTGTTTCCTTAAGTTTGCATTTAAGTTGGGAGGTTTTTAAAAAAATAATCAATTTCCAAAGACTGCTTAGTAACTTAAACATTTCATTCATAGTAACTGCAACAGAAGTAACGTTTGTCATAAAAAATTCTATTCAAAGTATTATACCTACTTTTAGTTATCATCTTATGCAACTTAAATAAAAGGGCTGTTTCCAGTGGCATCAGTCTGAGCCCAAGAAAAATGAGTTTCAAGTGTGGAAGTAAGTATGGAATTTCCACCCAGAAGACAAACTCAAGTGAAACGAGTTAGTTTACCTATAACCACTGAATGTGGTTAGTGTACAGAACATGTCTCCTTAAGTGCCACTCACCATGACTATCAGCTTTGCGTTTCTGTCAGAACACTGCTAGGTAACCTAATAGATAGTGGGTATTCAGCCAGGTACTGCTTAATTCTGCCACTGAACATCTCTCATGGATGTTGTCTAGTTCTCAGCATCTCTACCCAAAATACTATCAGTAAAGACTGTTATTGATTCCAGTTCCTCTGGAGTAGCTGAAACAAGGAATTAAAGAATATTACATCACCTATCATTTAGTCTTTAAATAAAATAACTGGTAATTACAATAAATATAAAAGCAGTATTTCAGTTATTTATTCAGTGATTTTAAGACATTATATTTGATATTGCATTTGTATGTTTTAAATCTTTTTAAACTTTAAGAATTCTTAAATATTACTTAACTTTTGAATTTTAAAATATTTACTTCTTTTGATTGTTACCTGCCCAGATTAATTAGTGTACCCCAAATGCTTTTACAGATGTCAAGAATGCATTTATTCTTCAAGGTCCAAAACATGAATGGATTTGTGCAACAGAGGCAGAGGATGATAAGTTCCTATGGTTGTCAGTACTCCAAAATGCAATCAAAAGCAGTATGGAGAAGTGAGACTGAACTTAAAGAAAACATCAGGGGTGCCAATTTTCCGTGTTCCAGAACATCCAGTAAGGAATTATTGGTCATGGATGATGAGTAGATGAACTAGGACAGCCTATAAGCTCCTTCCAACTTTAAAACTTTATCATCTATGCTCACTTATGTAGAATGCATTGTTAAAAACAATCTGAGTCCAAAATTTTAAACCAGTTCTTTTGGCAGTTTTATCTCATGGGTAATAATTAGACTGATGTGACTTATGTAATGAAACCTAATACAGAGCAAGCATATTGTATAAAGTTTTGTTTTATAATCTAATAAAAATAAAAGCAGAATATTGTTTTTTCTTAAATGATCAGTCTAGAAAAGTATTGTTAATTATTTACCAGTCATCTTTAATGATAATAAAATAATTATTAATTAAAAATATGTGTAAGGGCTTGGTGCCCACAGCTTGGCGGTTAGGTGCCGGCTACATCCACCACGGCTGGCACGTTCGAACCTGGCCTGGGCCTGCCGAACACCAATGACAACAACAACAAAGAAACAGCAGGCATTGTGGTGGGTGCCTGCCTTTAGTCCCAGCTACTTGGGAAGCTGAGGCAAGAGAATTGCTTAAGCCTAAGAGTTGGAGGTTGCCGTGAGCTGTCACAGAACTCTACCCAGGGTGACATAAAAAAGTGTAAGAAACACAAATGGCACTATACAGGATATAGAGTTCGTGTGCAACTTACTATGTTAAACTATTTTAAATTACACACAAACCTTATGCCCACCCTGTATATTCTTAACATAGACCACTACAAAGTACTAAAAGTTTTTTGTAATTTTAAGTGGGTTTTTTTGGGGGGGGTGTTAGCAAAAATAAATTCTTACATCTTCCAAAAAAGCAGTGCTAAAAATATTTGTGAGATTGTTAAATTAGAAAGCAACTGAAAAAAACAATGTTTAAAGAACAAAAATAAATGGAAACCTATCAAAACTGGCTGAGTAATAATTTAATTTTAAAAAGACAGCTCTGTTTAAAATAAAGAAATAGCAAAATAGGGGCTGAGTAGATTCCTAGGCTTTTAAAAGCTTTATTTGGTTATTTAACAAGCTGAAGCCATAGTCAGCCACTTGGACATTTCAGCTGATATGTGCAAAAGTTCTATCAGTACTGAAAGCCTTACTTAGGCTGCTATTTCCTTTCTGCTTCATATTCTCATTTAAGGTAACAAAATTGACTGGTTCAATCTAAGACTGTGAACCCAGGCTACTTAAATTATTTTCTTCTTTCAGCAGTGAAAATACAAATTCCTTCTAATCTTACTTTTTTAAAATTCAAAATAATATTTTAAAATACAAATTCTTAATTCTTAAACATCTAAATGTTTTAAAAATGTGCAAAAGTTAAAGTACCGTGTTTCATCAGCGTAAAATCACACTTATGATTCTGCTAAGAGATATCCATGCAGTTTAACATCTACGATCCTGTAGACAGAATAAATCTTCACAGGAATATATGCTGTTGGTCAGCAATGAATACAAATTTACAAACACGATCAAAATGTGTATGTCATGTAAAACAAATTCTGAAATGGTATATTATCTTGAGGAGGGCACACTGCAAACTCTCAGTTAATAGGAAAAAATTTGTCTGTCTGGACAAAAAAAAAAGTGACAAGAAAGCTGAAGATAAATTAGAAACTGTAAGAAATTTTCATTTATTCTGTGAATAGTGATATCCTTAGAAGTTTTTAAACATGTTACTTGAAAAGAATCTCTGTAGATTAAGAGAGTTAATGCAGAGTTAAGTGCACAAATCATGCAGAAGTGGTGATTTCCCAAGTGGACAGTACTCATGTAGGAGACTCATACTTTCCCTTAACCGTGAGGAACAATTAAGAAAGCCCTATCTTCTTAGCTACTTGTAAGTTTACATGATTGCTGCTGAATTAAAATCTCTCACAAAATAATTCTAAGTCACTGAGAAAGTTGATTAAATATTCACAAAGAAAATATAAAATCTGACAAGTTTTATTATTTGTCACAAGTTGCCATGTAAAAGAGATCTCAAAGTACCAAGTGACTCCTAAACAATACTGATTACGGCAGAGGCAGACTTTCCTAGTAAATTAGCTTACAGTGAAAACAGCCTTATCCAATATAGTTCTTTAAAACCAAAAACTAAATAGGAAACTCATTTTAAAGACATTTACAGAACAAATATAGATGCTTTATGTAAAAATATTAAACCTAAAAAGAGGACAAATAGACTATGTTTCCTTTTTGCAAAGATTTCTTAGTCTGTGGCTTGAGATGTAAATGAGATGCCCATTCTGTAAATCAAATCAGTGTGTGGTTTTGGCCATATAAATTTAATTGACCAATATTATGTACTCCCGATGCAACAAACACACTATACCCTCCAGAAAAAGTCATCCTGACCCTTTTATTGTTGAAATTAAAAAATAAAAGATACTTAAATACAATGGTGAACATATAGGGGCAAAACAGAATCATAAAATTTAATGTTGAATTAAGCAGTCAGCTGAATGTTTGGGTCTCCAAACTGGCTTTAAACCCAAAATCACTTAAAAATGGTTGTGTTCACAGTTAACGGCATTGGCTTATAGGTGAGAGAATGGTCGAAGTTGTTCCAGTTGAACTTCCAGGGAAATTCTCTCCTCAAGAACATCCTGAAAAAGATGCAAAAACCAAGTTGTGTTGCAAAAGTATATAAAAATGAAGATACATCTAAGAACAGCTCCACTTCAAGAAAACCATTTAAATTTGTCAAGAAGACTAAGGGAAAGCTATTTCTGTTTCTAAAAGTATAGTTTACTTTAGATTTCTTATTTATAATGTTGAAATATGATCCTAGTAACTTAAATCTTTTTCTTATTACAGCAATTCAGGTACTAAAATATTTTTCTCTAATTATTAGAAAAGCAACATTTGCAACGATGGGTATTAATGCATGAATTGTGCATAAGCTTGCCCCTGAATTAACCGTAGATAAACTGTTAACATAGATTCTTTCCCCTGGTGATGACATCTAGTTATATTAACTCCTGGAGCTCATTTTTGAGTTCTGGCTTCCCAAAGGATAAATTAGTTTTGCATTCATAATTTTTAACCACTGTTGATTCTGGGCAGTCTTTTCAGACTTTTCTAACCTATTTACTTTTCATCAAATTTCTAACCTATTTACTTTCCTCTTTTTTCTTTTTCTCTGTCATAAACTTTTTTTTTTTTTTTTTTGAGACAGAGCCTCAAGCTATCCCCCTGGGTAGAGTGCTCTGGCATCACAGCTCACAGCAACCTCAAACTCCTGGGCTCAAGTGAGTCTCCTGCCTCAGCCTCCCAAGTAGCTGGGACTACAGGCACCCACCACAACGCCTGGCTATTTTTTGGTTGCAGCCGTCCTTGTCATTTGGTGGGCCTGGGCTGGATTTAAACCCGCCACCTTAGGTGTATGTGGCTGATGCCTTAGCCGCTTGAGCCACAGGTGCTGAGCCCATAAACTTGTTTTAACCAGAATTACCACTTCCTATTTTAACCAGAATTACCTCTTCCTAACTTACTTCCTATTTTCTGTTCTCAGAGTAATGAGAAAAATGATGTTTAAAATAGCTCCAATAGCTGGGCATGGTGGTACATGCCTGTAGTCCCAGCTACTTGAGAGGCTGAGGCAGGAGGATCACTTGAGCTCAAGAGTTTGAGGCTGCAAGTGAGCTATGATTGTGCACCACTGCACCCTGGCCTGGGCAACAGAGCAAGACTGTCTCAAAAGATATAAATAAATGAAAAATATAAACAAGCAGATATAAAATAGCTCCTGTGTATTTGTTTTAATGTTTTTCTTTAGTTCTTCAGAAAAACATACATGAACAACATTTTCATATTCAAGGTATGGCACTAGACAAGCTTGTCCTTATGTTTTGCATTCTTCCTTCACAATGGGCTAAATTCATAATCCTACAACTATAAATGTCTTCTCTTTTGATCGAATAGTTATACAGAAATAATGTAATTAATTCAACAGACATGCTGAGTTTTAGAAAAAGAGACAAGATGGCCGTAAGTTTATCTAGAACAGTCCCAGTTTACAACTAACATCTTGGCCTAAATACAGGGTGGACATAAAATTTGTGTGCACAATTTTATTACTGTATTATATAATCCCATATTAATACAACCCTTTTTCTTTTCTCTCAAAAGTGCCTTGGTTTGGATGATATAGTCTATGGTCTTCCTAAACAAAAATGGTTTTGATTTACCCTAAATGAATTAGCAGTGTCATAGATAATAATTCCAGGACAGTGTGATAAATGCTGGATGAGGGATATGAACCAACTCTGCATTAATTTTTCATTTCCACAGATTCTTTTCATTTGTATGGCTTACAACCTTGCTATATTCAAAGCAGCAGGGCCAATAATCTTCCACCCAGCACCTCCATCACCTGGAAGCTTCTTAAAATGCAGGCTACTCAGGGCGCACCTTAGACCCACTAAATCAAAATCTGCATTTTAACATGAACTCAGATTACCTGTATATACATTAAGGTTTAAGAAGCACTGGTTTCTAAGACATAAATGCTTAAGAATGTTGACGAACCATAAGTGATTCTAGGAGTAATTTTTTCGATAGGGATTCAAAGAAATCATAGTTAACAGGAAAACAACTTCATTCCTCTCAAGTATGATGACAACGGTACACACAACACATCAGCATCATTTGTCTCTTCTTTTCCCACATGCAACATGATCTAAGTTGCCCCCACTCCTCCTCCTCTTTCCATCTATTTAAGTCCTTTCAATAGAATCTGAGTTGTCTTTGATAAAAGGACAAACCACAGTCAAATCACTTAGAAATTAAAGAGTAGTAGAGAGTCATCTATGTGATCTTGGAGGTACCTGAAATTGCAATATTTCTTATCTTTATGCTTCTTTAAGATAAGGAACATTGGCTCGGCGCCTGTGGCTCAATCGGCTAAGGCGCCAGCCACATACACCTAAGGTGGTGGGTTTGAATCCCCAGCCCGGGCCCGCCAAAACAACAATGATGGCTG